CACACTCAATGTATTTGGTACAATGTAAGAACGTGATGTAATGCTTTGATGAATAATTTATCACTACAAAACAAAGAATAAGGAAAGTGACTATGTTTTAAGATACCGGTCAAACACTTCAAAAAATAATTATCGATGAATAAGAGAAGCTAATTCAATTCTGGCTTGACATAAAATTTCAACAGAGTGGATTAAAAAATATATAAATAAATAAATGAACTCAGCTATACCTCGGTTAGTTTCCCCTAATCCCGTTCTCGGCGATATCATTATACATTTGTGAATCATAAAATTTCTTTCATTATACATTTGTGAATCATTCGTTCTCATAAAATGAGAGAGAAGTTAGTCAGAAAACATCGTTCTCATTCGTTTCCTGACCCTTGAAGACCAGGAAGTACAGGTGATGGTGACGAATGGGTGTCCAGCAAGCGAACACCATCGTCTGAAGTGCACGTACCTGACCTTATGGTTTTCAATTGTGCAGTAATTAAAACTACATGCTATTCCCTTAATAATATATTTTTCCTTTTTAGAAACTTTACTATTCATTTATTTTTTTATTTATTTAGGGCGTCCAGAGCAAACTTCATACACCAAGATTTGCCGGCCATTAGCCGTTGTCATAGTTACAAGATCAATACTAAGTATATCTATCAGTGTACAAACGAGTTCTGCTCCAACAGGTGAGTACAAGTCGTTTTACGTACATGAAAGTCTCTTTGTTTATGGGGTTGTATTGGCCGTTTTCGAACACGAAATGCTTTGTATCCAGTTAAAACGGCAAAGTTAACTTATATGAATGAAAATCCCCAAAAATCACACAAAATAAATTAATAGAAAATTACAGATGAATATTCTCAAATATTCTGGCAATTTTATAACGTAAAATATAAAATGATGCCATTTATTTGAACATGTTGTTTTTTGTTGTCGTGTTGTTTTAGCTTATTTTGTTTGTTTGTTTGCTGTTATTTTTGTTTTTGTTTTTGTTTTGCCTAAGTTTCTACCCCCTTTCCCAAACAGGATTAAAATTTTAAGTTTTTAAAAATATATAATATGCTCTCAACTGTTTGTAAGAATGACTCAAGAAGCGGGAGGACGTGCGGTAGAAGTGGCAATGCGCTTAATCCCAAATATGGGAGGGTTTTTGTTGCGAAGWCAAATAAGAGGCCGATTTAATATAGATGACCGCTAAACGAGGTTTGACCGCATAGGAAGACACGCAGCCTAGTTGTAACAGCAATTCATAATTTTAAAAACTCAGTCATTCGTTAAAAGTCTTGAAAAGGTTGTTTTCTTATAACTTTGAACGTGCTGGGAAGCACTCCTCGGAACAGGTCGAACAGGACTCTCAATGAACAACCGGACCGAAAGTTAATTTCTGTTCCTTAACCCAACGTGAATATTACTGCGTTTCTAAACTATTTTTTTGTGATTTTTAAGTGAATTTACTAAATAGAAGGGTGTGTTGAAGTCTTTTGTTTAACATCAATATCGTAACATCTTGTGATCGGTCATGCGATCCATCACGCCACGCAGTTGATGGTCAGCTGACATGAACTACTTCTCGTCTACTTGTTTAGCCGTTACCCTGTCAGGGTTCATTTCTCTTCCATTAAATTGTCTTTTAATACATTATATCTGTCAAAATTCCTTGAATTTTTAATAGATTTTTTGTGTGTATGTGTTTGTGTAGTCGTAGACCTTCTGCGTTTCTGCCCCGTTTTCCGYAATGGTAAAAAATCATCATACGTGATACGCGATACAAAGTGAGTGTGAAAATGCAACGCGAAATCACTACAATTTGTTTCGTAGGCTAGTGATTCCTTTATTCATTTAAGTATTCTACATTGATCTGTACATATGCATTCATTTACTTACTCATGCATTCAGTGAGTATTTTTGAATTTCTTTCTTTCGAGTTCCATTCAGTAATTCTCATCGCCAACCGTTGGTTTATCAGTGTATTTATTTATTTTTTTTTCGGCAACCATTTGTCAACATATTTGAATGTACAACAATTAGAATTATTAGTAATGTTATCTGCTTATTTCCAGTGTTGGTCGCCATTCTAAGTCGCTGGATCTCGAGAAGTATCGCTGTTCATATTGTAAAAGGTAGTAATCTTGTCATAAATGTTTTTAAGTTTCAGTTTCTATGTGACTAAAATAATCCTTTGAATAATACGTTTAACAATAACATAAGAATTTTGAAAATACACAACGTGCAGGGACATWTCTAAGACAAAGCAGAGCATGATGGGGAATATAGTCCAAACGGATAAAAAGACATTACCATCATGCATTGCTATCGCATGARWAAATGACGTCACTGCAATTGAGCTCGAAGTCGTCCATAACAGCTCAAAACTTCCTTAGCCAATTTATCACCTTGTGACCGATTCCTTGCYTTTCTTTAGCCGCTTTGAGCTTCAGCCCCAGTTAAAGAAGGATGGGACGCCCCAGTCATCCCGCGCTCCAAACAAATTTGCGATGTTCGTGAAAGACCATTATGGAAAAGTRAAGAAAAGTGGAATGACGCACAAAGAGGTCATGAAGGAGTTAAGTAGCCAGTTTAGTTCACTTAGTACTAAATAGGCAGGAAATACTCCAGTCAATACACTCATTAAAACAGGACGTTGAATTATCTTTTTTTGGTTGAAATGAGATAGATGCGTCAGCCGGGATAGATTCTAAACACAGCTTGTTAAAGTTCTTTGAACTTAGTAAAGGAATACATTTTTCATTTTTAAACTATATACTAAAAGAAGTTAAAAACTGGCGTAAAATCAAAAATCTTAGTATTATTTGTTTTGGATTTTGAAAAAATCGAAAATCGCTCTCTGTTTTATATATAGTTACTTAGTTGGGTGCATCACGCGGTGATAAAATAGTAATAATGATATTTTGAAAATATGTCAGACCACAATTTGTACGGTGTGTAGGGTGGTTTTTGTACTGTCCAAAAAGGAATGTGGAAACATTTTTTGCTGTTATTTAGTAAYACACGATGAGATCAACTCAAAAAGTATTCAAATCGGTGAACTTCCAGACGCCGATATAAAGAGTGCTGTATATAAACACGAACGTTTTTGTTATCTATTCGCAAAGTACACTTATAGATTAGAAAATAATTGATAAGGAGATATTTAGAAAAGTAATTTTATTGAATCAATRTAATATAATGTCAATGTTCATGCTGACTATTTCAGACAGCTTGTTATAATTCTTTTATCGGCCATTTTGCTAGACATCTGCGTCCCTTTGCGATTGTTTAAATTGTCTTTTGTGTTCTCTGTTTGCATTGAATGATTTGAATCATTTATTGGGATATAGCATCTTCTATTCACAATATTTTTTTTTTCTCAAAGTCGGCATTCTGGTTGATTCTTCATTATTTTGATTCTACTTGTTTCCAGAAAGAATTTGGGTCATCAACCTTCTTATTCTAACGTGTTAACAATCGGAACTGAAATCAGCGCTTTTTAGCTTCTTCTTTCTTTCTTTCTTTTTGGTGTGTCCTAGAGTTTTCGTACTAATTAGATCAACCCACCGGACTTTCTACACTATTGCACTCTTAACCTCAACTCATCTTTGTAMGTGTATAAGATTTTTGGTTGTTGTGGGTATAAACCACTGGACTGAAAACATTAGATGACGATTCGTTCGTTCCATGCTTTAGCTACATATTGGTTTCGAAACTTGTCAATGACGTCATCCACAACTCCACCAAAGCTCAGCACGCCGAGAATAATCTGCGACTGTAGGACAACTGATCCTCGTTCAAATGATAGCCACGCGTGCATTCCTTGGTCGCCGAGCGCTTCGAGTTGTTCTTTCAGTTGGATTAATAGAGATGCGCGTATTTCGTTGAACTTTGCACAAGACAGAAAAAAATGGTCAATAGTCTCGTCTTCTTCACCTTTGCAGTACCAGCATTTTGGCGTTCCTTCGCTTCCACGTGCACGTTGATTTGGTCTTGGCGGTGGACTGGCTTGAAACTGTGATGAACTGGAAAAAAATTGAATTAGTATTAAAACAAAACTGTTTTTACCTTAGAGTGTGCTTTGGGAAGAGTGTTGTTTTTCTGTAATTACAAAGTGACAGATCKTGGATAGTTACTGGTGGCCAAACGTATGTTTATTTTTTGATTTACTGGTAACAAAATAGCGCCTTTCAAATTCCATATATTGTTTTTCCTCTTTTTTAGTCCCAAATTATAGTTTCGCATTCAGTGTAAGAATAATTATGTCTACTAAATAAGGGTCTTATCTTGCGGTCTGTTGCATTCACTCCATCCCAAGCTGAATATAAAGCAATWCTGTTATGATACAATATACTTGGGTCATCAGTAAACTGTTTTGAAAAAGGCGACAAAGATATCTTCARTTTTCAAAGCGATGCGATCTTTTTTTAAAGCATGAGGCTCTTTAACCATCTGCGATGTTATAAGACTAAAGTTCTCATTGTCAAACATGATTCATAAACTGGTGATAAAAGGTTTAATAATAATCAGCTTTTCTGCGTCTTAGGTCTTTCTTCGTTAGTATACAGCTCAAAAGACGTGATCGATTTCCACTCATAATAATGTTGCGGTTTTTCTGGGTATAAAAATTGGAACGTTCTGTGCTATTAAGTCATAGATTTAGACAAGCAAACTGATTATACTAATCATCAGCAGTTCAATTGTAAGTGTTTTTAGCATGCACCATACCCCACCTTGACAGTCAACCTGTTACTTTTCTGGTGGCTCTCTCATCACAAAGGCGCTCACAAAAACAAGTTAATTTTTCCAATTTATGAAAAAACGCTTCGTTAGTTAGCATTTTTATCTCTACGAAGATATGATCACATAAATCTGAAGCTAATTATTGTATTCCATAATTATGTCGAATCATTGAATAGTTTTTAATACATTTAACGAGAATTTACTTGAGTATCGGCCTCCTTTCCCTTCCACTGTTGATAATGCCCTTAGTACACACGTTTTGTAAAGTTTTTCCTTAAAAACTGCTTCAATTCAATTTCCTAACTTTCTAGATGAGGTTTTTCGATGCCAGTTGAGACCACTTTCGAAAGTGCTTGATCGCTATAGCCTTTCAATGCCATCAACAAAAGAAGTACACAAAAACCACGTGTTCGAGCGAAAAACAAAGCAGTTTAAACTATGATAGGCARAAGGGCGAACAACACAAAGAAAAACTGGTTCTGTTGGTCAACGACTTACCATAATTCTTGTTGAAGGCTTGCAGAAGTGATCTCCATTAGGCTTTGTTTGGGATCGATCTTCATCTTCACTTTGTGAGCAGGCGTTTTTCACAAGAGGATAACCTGATCAACCAACTGAATTCTTGTCCAGTGAGTTTTCAGTGAACACAAGAGAAAAGGCGTTTTTCTTCTTATAACCTATTCACCCAAGCAAGCTTTTGAAATCACTGCTGTTTGGCCTGCGTTCTCATGCGTTCATGTCAACCTTTTCGGGTGAATAATTCCAGTATTTCAACACTGGTTTGCTTATGCATGCTTGGTTTTTCGATGAGGAGATCGGAATTCCTCAAATGCTTGTCTTTCTTACCTTTTCTTCGTTCATCAGTATCTTAGCTTAAAGTAGTTTTACGAAAGTTTACTAAACGCGCAATATTAAACAGTTACCTAATTTGGTGGATATATTTTKGTGTGAAGATAATCAACACTTCTCAGCCAAAAATTGCAATATTCATTTGAAGCGCACATTCATGGTCTAGAAGAGTAAATGAAACACCGATTGTGTATTTTATCTTCTATTTTATTTTCTTGTTTGTATTGTTTTGTCTTGAAATAGACCAAWAKTAAATGGAAATATTTATCCAGTGGGRTGTTGTGCTTCAGTGRACTCGATGYCCCTGATCTCGAACTGCAACTTCTGTTCTGTCATAGTGTCATGAACATTTGAAGAAGGGCCGCTTGAGTTTSACCGTGATAAAATTTAAATGAATACGTGCATGAATTGATTCTCTGTATCGCCGACCTCCTGGGGTCTATATTTACATTAATTGACCTACATTCAATGTTATTATCTTCGCCCTTCTACGTCATTGGCTCTTAAGCACAACAACGGGAAACGGAGGAAATGATTCTAGAACGGATGATCACGGAATAGATTATTCATAGTGAAATCAATCTTTTAAAACACTTCGATCAAGTATTCCTTACTAAGATGTTTCGAATATTGTTACAAATGTTGCACTACCCAAMACAAGTAAAGGTTTCTTACATTTGTAACTGATAATTGTAAATAAAAAAACTAATCGTCTTATTTTGAAAAATAGCAAAATAATTGGCACGGATTCATACCACTGTTTTTTACGACTACTAAATGACACATAAATRGGGAAATTAGAGAAGTTGATCAACAGAAACCGTTTGAAAGAAAGTGGTACATTATGYCTCTCATCTTCAATTTCCTTTAGTACATATGTGCTTTTCAATTAACTTTAAAAGTTTTTGTTGCCAGAAAAAYATTACAAACAGCAATTTAGAAAATTAAAGAGMTGCGAAAATTACAGGTTTTATTGTTGGAGTTTAAATCTTTACTTATAGCACTAACTACTAATGATTTTCCATGAGTCGTAATATTGTGTCGTGTTTAGTCAGCTGAAAATGCTAGCKTATTGTCACGTACTGTTATTACCAATTCAGTATTGCTTCACAGGGATTAGCTTATTCAGAACCACATAAAACCCTTCAAGATTCGACTGCATTGTCACAAAATTCAAAAAAAAAGTGTTTCGCCTTTTTTCAAAAACAAAGTATAATTTGCGAGATACTTTTGTGGCATATAATGCGCAAAATCAGATCAAGGACTGATGTTCTTGGCGTGGCAATCTAACATAAAATCTCTTTTTACCATCAATAGAGCTAAAATATAAACAAATGATTTGAGGACGAGTCAAAAGAACCGGACATAAAAGCCCTTCTCTTCGTGAAAGGACTTATCAAATAACACTATCGACCGACAAAAGCTGATCTCCCTTTGTTAGGAATATTAGTAGTTGTAAAGTAAGAAATCTGATAAATAATGACATTTTTATGTTGAAAAAGACCAATAAACAAATGCCTAAGGGCACAAAGGAACACATTTTCAGCTCCCACGATGAACCCAGYWGTCCAAGTCTAGTGTTTTTYCTTATACATAACGGACTGAGCAACAAGTGACTTTGATTAGATCAGATTGTATAAGTTATCCACGTTTTGTGAAGGGATGTTAAAGTTTTGTAAAAATAGAAAATGTTCAGGTTTGACAGTTGTTAATGATTTCATCAATTAAGACATAAAATCTAATTAAGCAATGAATATGAGTCTAACTTCTTGAAATCCTGKTTTTTTGATAACAAAAGTTAACATCAGGTACAATAAACAAAACAAAACGTTCTCGTTTGAAGCTGTCTCGTGATTATGGTATTCTTTTGTGAGCAAAGCTCAAAGGGAAGCTGTAAAATTGTGGTATGAAAATAGAAAAAAAATAAGTAGAATCTTAAAAACCGTGAATTATTGATGGCATGTGGCGTTGGAAGTTTCACGGTGATTGCACTTTTAAGACAACCGAAGCTTCTCTTGTTGTGCCCCTCTTCGCATCATTTGCCGAGAATTGAATTCTTGGGCTTAAAACCTGTGATGTGTTTTTGCACAAAAGAATTAGCTTCTGTTAGGCACGCTCGGTCAATGGAGTGAAACGGAACAGGCTTTCTCTTTGATGCGTTCCATTGTTCTTCGTAGCAACAAGCGTAACTTTATGTCACGGCCTATGGATAAAATCTCTTAAAAAACACATAACAGTTATGATCAAATAYTCTTGATGAAACATTCTAGAACCACACACAAAACATTCCAAATACACTAAAAAATCGATTTTCAATAAACTTCATCGATACCCGTGCGCATGGCATCTAAAAAAGGCCAAAGTTCTAAACAAAAGATCTATTCTTAGGGAAACACTTTATTAACCTTATCTTAGCGCTTAGCAACGGGCCCTAATTAAAATATCTGTATGCTGATTGGCTGAGCGCTGTGACGTCATGGGGTTATTTTACCAGACGCAGCCAAATAATTTTCCACATAKAAGAAAATCGCCTGAAAACACATCTAGGTTAGTGTGACTGTAGTCACTGTTCGACGAAAATTTCGTTGGTTTGCCACGAAAAAAGATCTCATCGTGAGGGAGAAGAAGACGATTGAGTCGAACCTGAAGGTTTTAGACATAGTTAKARAGAATAACAGAACTTTGACCGAAATATTGGACTCTCCGAGAACAACAACGCGACCCGCTCAAAAAGGAAACTGAAATCGACAACCAACATTTCGTAATACAGTCATAAAAATCATGAAAAACGAAGTGAGTACCGCCTGTAGATTCCTATTTTTAATGCTAAGAAGGAATAACCACATCAGTGAACCAAGATTACAAAAATTCACATCGAAAATGGAAGAGCTTCTGTGTGAACGGTACAAGACGCATTGGCACCCACAGAATCCATTGTTGGGCAGTGGGTTTCGATGTATTCGGATAAATCACTCTGCTATGGACCCCATCATTCTTGATGCAGCGCATTTGACGGGGGTATCTAACACAGAATTGAGTGGCTTTCCCGAGGAATTGACGGTGTGGATCGATCCCAACGAGGTTTGCTTTAGGATCGGTGAGAATGGCTCTATCTGCGATATAAGCGAGGATATGTTAAAAGATATGACGTCGACACGAGCCAGAGAGAAGAACGCTCGGACAAGACAAGAAAATCTACGAAAGAAGGAAAGTATTTTACACTCGAACATTATCCAAGCACCGACATGTGTTCAGTGTTAGTTTTAGAAAGCTTTCAAAACCATCATGTACAGATTCTAATGTAAAGTTTGAGAAATTCTCTAGACGATTGCAATGGTTTGTAAAATAGCTTTTTGGCTACTGTTGCGATCTATACAAGTTTGTAACATAAGGTTGTATTTTTAAATGTATAAAAAAGAAATTTTTAAGAAGAATCTGTATAGGCTTTCCTTCTTACATTCAATAAATTGAAAACAACTAAGTGATACAAGTTTGTGTTTCTGTGCTTGAAATTTTTCGTCCCACTTTCGTTTCAAAATTTCATGAGCGATTCGTCAGACCATGAACAATGCTTTTGTTACGAGATTTCGAACACTTTCGAAGYTATAATCATGATAATGTGTTCTMGAAGAAATGTTTTTGTTATTTGTTTTCTGCCGAGCGAATATCATAAATAATTTATAGCTGGATTTGCACGAATCTCCTTACAAGGACATGTGTTTATTGTACGCTTGACAATAGGATTTACTTTTACATTATARTTCTTGTCTCGCAAATGGATCAAGAAGACATCTTTGTGTTTACATTATATTTTATTTGGCACCTCTGTGCTGGAAATTGCGAATACAGCCCTGAAATTTTACCMCTGAGGGGGAATACCCAAATGTGTTTGTTAATATCTTTTATTATCATATTCATTAAATATAGGGATATTGATATCTAACAATCTTTTCTTTGTGATAATTTACTGAAAGACACGTTTAATAGACGGGCTATTATTTATGACTTTGAAATATAAYTTAATGCCCTATCGTATTTTTATGATTCCAGCTGTTGAGGATTTGTGATTGTTTTTATCAACTTGAAAGGTTTACAATGAGCTTTGTTATGAAAACCGACCCCATGATGGTCACATTATTCGTTTCCTGTGGAGTCTGTGACCGTATTGGAATTTTTTAACCTCTGATGCAAAAACCACACAGGAAACTCAAGAGGTAGTGACATTAATTCACTAATCACTGCATTATAATTCATACTTGATAGTGAGTAGGTGTGAGGTGAGCCCTACATTTTTTACCCATGTTTCATGATAATCAATTTTCATGTGCAGAGGTGTTTCATTTTCATGTTATAAAAAATAAAAAAGTTATAAAAATAAAAAAAGTGCAAAGTTGTAACCTTTATTTGACACAGGTGAAAGCTCTTCAAACTTGTCTAATTTCTAGTTTTGATGTTGTTTGCTGGTTTTCTTTGTTTTTCTTGTTGTTGTTTAATCCCCTCATTCCCAACTGAATTATTATTCCTGTTTGGAAAAAGGTCCAATATTGWCTCCAAGTAATTTCCAGGAATCTTCCAGGTTGTGTTTTGCAAGTTTAAACATTAGGAGAGGAAATAAAATTGTCAAAACTGYATGTTTTTTTCTTTTGTTGTGCTTTCTTTCTTTTTCTTCTCTCTCCTTTACATTTAATTTGGTACATCTATAAAGTGATAAAAAGTGTTGCATCATAATTGCATTTTCATTTGGACTGTAAGTTCAGTTTCTTTGGAAATGTTTTACCGAGTACTATTCATAATTTTACATGTTATTAGTATGATTGAGATATTGTGCCCAATCTGACTGTGATTTCCATTCACAAACCTATACTTCTTGCAATCTCCATGACAATCACTACATCAAGGATATTTTGGAGTTAACAATCATTATGTAGAGGTGTTCTTTTCTAATGCAAACCTGAGTGAACTCGTGAAGTATTTTTGTTCAAACATTATCGCAGGATGCAGTTCCAGAAACAAAGGTTTGTCTTTAACTTTCAAAACTATTCAAAGCGTAGTGTTAATTATTGCAGGTGGTGATTATATCCATTATGTCTAAAGTGGCATATTGTACAGGATGGCCAAATTGCACTTCAAGCGCAATGCTGAATTTCATTAAAAAACATCAAGGTTTTTTATATAAATTGTAAAAACTATGAATCGCTGATACTAGAATATTAATTTAGTTTATTTTTTGGAAAATTTCAGTACCTGATTGAAAAAAAAAAAACAGATTTCAGTACCTGATTGCAAGAAAGGTTTGAGAAAGAGAACTTTGTGAATTTATTAAAAGACAATGAAAGAGTTCAACTTGTCCTGCACTTATGTTACTTTGATATGATATTTCCTCTTAGTTTGAGAGAGAAGTTTGAACAGGTGCTGTTTCCTGGTTATATAA